TTGCGTTTTCAGCATCGTGTTACTCGCCATCGAGATTTCACCATTTTACCATCGTTCCATCGCGTTTTAATCATCGTACCATCGTGCGTCTTTGGTACAAACTAAATAAAACATCATGATTGTCCAAACGGAACACCATTATTACTTCTATAAACTGACAAATAATCCCCATAAAATGACAGTTTGTCTCTTATTGGTAAACTGGCAAAGTGACCTGAAAGTGAATAACGTCATGGCCAACGTTGGATCTGGGTAAAGAAACAGGATGAGAAAGACAGCAGTTTGTCTTGGACTTAAATCTGGGACATTCGCATTACTTGATTCCCTCTAATTATTGAACAGTTCTTACTATGACGTATTTAAAATCCTAAAGCATGCGTATTGAAATGTCTTCACAAACCTCCAAGGGTACAGATAATACTTTTTAGTTATAAACCATCATGACCCAACATTTTGTGCCAAATATCACAGGGTTAGAGACATACACAGTCTGATATCCGGAATTCGAAACCAGGACCCCATAGGACTTATCCGTACCGGCTAATCAATCTGGCAGCTTACACATTAGTTCTATACAGTAACATGAATGAAAAATATTCTGTTAGCCCAAATTGACCTTCAAATCTAAAAAAATCAGTTCAGAACAGGTTTAAAGATTATTGTGCATCTTATGCTAGCCTTCAGTGGAACAAGTATGCTTGGGATACAAGGGGACAAGGCATTTTCCCAAATGAAATAAAACTCCTCAGAAATTGTGTCAATCTCCATAAATAAAGCGATGCGAATAATTAAAAATGTCCAGAGAGCACATCCATGTATATACAAGTGTAACATTTGACATATTATTCATAGACAAAAAGTCATAAATTTGCAATAGTCAAAATATGCACTGATGTATTACTTATTAATGATATGCCATTTGTTTACCGGCAACTAAATTTAAAATGATTTATACCTGAAATAGCCCTGCATTGTTATTTGTTTCATTTTCAAATCCACCTTGCAAAAAAGATTTTGACGAGCGATGAACGGGATCAGCAAGCCTGATTTTATGGGGATGTCATTTACAAACTTTGTAAAATCTTGGGTAATTATATTTTTTCGGTTGTCTTTACTTAAATTATAAATCGTTTTATTAAAAGAGGTTATGATCCTCCTATTTTAAGACATATCGCATGCCTCGTGTAGAAGACTTTTACAGTTGGACGCTACGCTTTCCTCTTTTGATTACAGCTGACGGACCAAGAGTGAGACTCTAAGATTGACAGTTCTTAAGCCGTTTTGGATCGAATTGCCATAAAAGTGTTCTTCTGCCTTGCTTCGTCAGGTCCTTGTATGTGATTTTCCTGTTGCTCTGTCTTCCGTTAAAACATCGAGTACTTTGTTATGGTAATTGGGTTTTAATTCAAATGTTTATACATGATCATTTCGGTGTTTTACTTATTTTGCCTTTTGTTTTCATAACAACTATTAGAATTTCACTCGGCGGGGATTCATTTTACTTACACCGTCTCGTTTATAGGAACACGTCGGGGCTAAAAGTGAGGTTTGGTGCCCAATTAACCAATTTAAACACCCTAGCAGTACTTTTGAAGCTGACCGTTCCAAGGCGGAGACCGTCTGTGTTCCTCAAATGTATGTATGTCTTTCTTTTTTATACTGTTTTGGTGACAATTTTGTTTGTGTCACTTGCTTTATTTTTTACCCCCCCCCCTTTTCCCCGTGTCTCCTATCCCCTTTCCCTTTGCCCCTTTGCTTTTTGAGCCTGTTTTTCGAAAACTTATTTGTTTTCTTTGATTTCCTTATCATTTGTTGTTTCTTCTTATGTATCAATTTAGAGATAAGCGTGTCCATGTTCGCTCTGCCTTGCGTCCGGTTTTTGTTTAGGGTCCTATCTGGTTTCTTGCCACAGGTTCTTATTGCTGGGTCATGTGGTGGTTCCGTTCATTGAACGTCTATTTTCCTTGTTGATCTTGTTAATCATATTTTAATCACATGCACTATTACCAAATCTGGTTTCCATAATGACTTTTATAATCATGTGTTCACAATTTTAAATAATAAATTCATAATGCTAAAATTGCAGCGTTAAATGTGTTAATGTTCGATTAAAACATACATAATCCTTAATAAGAGTCCTTGAAACAAAACAGATTTGTTATTTATCGCAGACGCACGTTAAATGCTTTTGTGATACATATCGCAAGCTTTCAAATGCAAGATAGACGACTTACGAAACACGAGCTAACGCACGCTTTCAAAAATGATTGTAAACGATGCACGCTTGAGAAACGCCTTTATCAATTGCATGTTGCACGATTCACACACGCATAATATACGATAAACGCACGGCCGAAAAAAATACCTAAGACAACCAAAACGTTCACCCTACTGTTATTACCTTTGAAAATATTTGGCAATTGATCATTACAAATTGTTCATTGTACATCCAATATATGATGTCGATGTATATCCGAATTATCATCTTCTATTTTCAAGAGTTGAAGACATTATAATATATCATTTTCAATGTTTAAATTTGCCCCACGATTCGGTATCATTCATTGAAAACGAATGTTTGTTAATAAAAAAATTCATTAGAGTTAAAAAAGGCCCTAAAACTGAGCCTCGAGGCACAGCAATGTCTCATCAGAGTATGTTGTGCCTACAAACCTTTTTGTTTTCTATTTTCTAAATAATTTGAAAACCAGTTTAATAAGTTTCCAGTAAATCCATATTGTTTCAGTTTTAAAATAATACCCATATGCCATATTCTAACAAAGGCTTTACAAATGTCACAGAAAAACAAAACACATTGCTTTTCCCTCATCGAAAGACTTACATGTCTGATAATAAATGACTATTAATTGGTACGAGGTTGAATGTCCAAGAAGTAAGCGGGCCTGATGTATGTATGTTAGTTTATTTTCATGTAAAATGTTAGTTTATTTTCATGTAAAATGTTGTCTGAATAATAAAAAATAATACGTTCCAAATTTTTCCTATACAACTTATAAGGGAATTTTCCACAAGTTTAGAGATGTGTTATTTTGACTAGATCTATAAGTATAGTCAAAGGCTTACAAATGGTGTGAAAAGTTTTCTTAAGCATTTTGTGACTGATTTCGTCTGTTCCGCTGGCTTTATTGTCGACTAGATGAGATAATATGTCTGTAACATCTTCATTTATGTTAATTATATAGCTTTAATGTTTTTGGCTCGAATTGTGGTAAAATAGTATAATAGTTTTAAATGACAACTTGGGCTTTCTTAATGGATTCTGTATTTATCTTTTTTATGGTCACATCCGTGTTATTTGTGCCGTGTGGCGGCTGTAAAAAGTATCCTCGTACATTTAATCAGTGATGTTATAGTTTCGATCCTTGAAGATCGTTCAGTACAACATTATTGTTGTGCTTGTAGTATTTTAAGTTTAAACTTTTCGGCATTTTCTAGTTGGGTGGTTCCAATATTTCTACTTGAAAAATGTTGAATCACCCAGAGGATATGATGCCTGCTTTTTAAATTTGTCTTTTGACGTCTTATCTGTGATATTCAGGCTTCATAACATCAGATCCCCTTTCTAAATTCCATTAAAATTAGTTCCGCCCATTGTTTTCTCGTATTTTGTTTTCTTTGTATTTATATATTTTAGTTTCAGTGAAACATAAAACGTAGAAGTGATGAAAGTTGTTGTTTACATAATCAAATTTGTTTTTATACTTATCTCCCTTTGACTTCAATTGTTGAATATTAATAAAATGACACATGATGTAAAACCGATACTTCTATTAAAAGTATTTATGTATTGTACCTTAGCTATAAATAACACCAAAAATCTAAAGAAATGTAATACTACTATAACTAATGATATAAGGAGTTTAAAATTAACGCGCTTCTTAAACCATTGTCTTCCATTATTAAACAGTCCAACAGCCGTTCGATAAGCTACTATATCAATTATCTTTATGGGTACAGTTCAACCGCTAAATAAACTATGACCGACCAGGGTAATAAAAGATACCTTCTCAATTGAGACAAGGTAGCGGACAGGCAACGTAACATAGTGCTATATTCAGAGACAGTGGTAAGAATTAAGAAAATAACAGAAACGTAAATACATTACTTAATTAGATAGGAATAAAACATTTTCTAAAGTGTGATGATGAAGTAGAATAAAATAACTTAATTCAGGTACAAAAGACAGTGCATGTATGTAATGGATATGATAACTAACCAGAACAAATATTACAAAAAAATACAACTTATTGGTTAGTTTGTTCACATTTTTCAAATTTTGTCATAGAAATGAAAAGAAAATCAATGACCCTAAGGGCGGACCAAATTTGACTCCAAAGCTTTTATTTGAACAAACTTTGTACATGTAGTCACTTACTATCCGAGCCATTTGGATTTTTTTTAAAGTGGATTATTTAAGCCTTTCCAAAAGAACAAAATCTGGAAAATCAATGACTCCCAGAACGGGCCAATTTTGAACCAAAGGCTTTTATTTGAACGAACTTGTTAGACACTCACTTGAAGAATTTTTATGCTAAATTTATAATAATTATATAAGCTCTAGCTCTTTGGGTTTTTTTTAAAATAAGTTTATTTGTCTTTCGGTTGACATGTAAACTAGAGTTCTTCATGGAATATGAATTAAACTCTTTGAACAAATCTTAAAGGTGACCACCAAATGAACATTTCTGTGAAGTTTTGATGAAATTGGCTCAGTGCTTTATGAAAGGATGTCGTTTAAAGTAAAAGGACTGACACCGGACGGACAGACGCCGGACGAAATGTGATCACCAAGCCACAGTGAATAAAACAGAGATAGTTAAATTTGACAGTGCATAAAAGTTGATGTGTTATATTATATAGAAAAGAAAAATGAAAAGTAAGGATACATTAATTATAAGTGGTTTCCATTAGAACATTGACCCCTTAAACATTATCCGAACTATTTTCTCAAGTTTAATAAAATACTTTACAAAATTTACCTCTCTGACGAATTCCGAGTAGATTTGTTCTAACTCACTCTCCCCAAAAATTTGTTTCGCTAACTTATAACGTTCATCAGAATTCAGAATTTTCTTTGCCTCAGGAAATTTCTGGTAGAAATTAAAACAAAATCATAACATCATTGCTGTTCCATTTAAAAGTACATTGTAACAACTGTTTCTGAAATTGCATTATGTTATAATTATTCTGACATAACTTTTATATAATATCTTACGTAGGTCTGTTATTCTTTATTCGCACCGCTCTAGTGTAAATGCAACTAACAAAAATCAAGAAAGACACAGTTCTGTGGTAGAGTGCATTGTTATTTTCAATTTATAAACACATTTTGTATGATACGTAAAAATTTGAAACAAAATTTATAGAATTATTTTTACTTTGAAAAATGCTGTACGCCAGGTTTTGCATCATAGTGAGATGACACTTCACGTACAGATATTTCTGATTATTTATAAATGTATCAATAAGACAAAAATGCTCTTATATCAGAGTATAAAAGACACGAGTGATGAATTTTATAAAAAAATGTACTTTATATTTAATTGTCCTACCATCGTCAGATTCCTCGGTCTAAGCACAAAGATGCAACGTTCAAGATAAAAATTACGTAGCATGTGGTTTATTACAGGTTACCATTTACAATTACTATTTTCATAACAATTAGCATCTTTAAAGATCCTGTAACACATTTTTTTCATGGTTTTATTTCATAAATATGATGCTCAAATTAAGATGTGTCAATATTGTAAGTTCCAAAAAGCATTATTTATAAAGATATTACCGATTTTGATATTTCATGTAAATAAATGGAGATAATTAGAAATTTATTTTCTATAAATTCTAAGTCAAATTTTGCAATAAGAAATGAATGCATATAATTTATTGATTAAATATAATGTGCTTAAATATTTGCAGTACACATTTTACATATTCTTCGATGTTTGAAAATTGTTTTACTTGCATAATTATATACATATATATTTTTTTGCAAGTGTGGTATACAGACAGTAACAATATCAATCACAAAACATACAGGATCTTTAAAGGATAATAATAAGCTAATTAAAATTATTTCTTTCACATGGTGATAATATGTAACTTAAGATATATATATAAAATAATATTTACCTGATTCATATCTGCTTCACTTGTTGGTTCGTCATTTGTTTGACAAGGAACAATTTTGTCCATCTGTTTATTCTCACCATTGGATGATGGCCCTGGCTTAAAACACAATGCTTAATTTAGACATTTTAAACGAATATATTCGGGTGATTAATGTCCCGGCTGATTTAATAATATCCATGAGGCATTAACACGTTAACTTTGTTTAGGTCACTGTATATACATGTATTATAATCAAACAAATGGATATGCCGACCCTGAAAGTGCCGTGCTACAAGAAAGACACCAATCTCGTACAAAGACATTGAATAAGGCGATGAATTATTCCGCTATTTTAAGTACTGTTTTATGCGTTTAACAATTATTTTGTACATTTACGTTTCAAGACATCAAACTTTCATATTTTATTTCAAATAAAACATATGTATTATGTTGGTCTCTTGTTTACAAAGTTACTCAATATCCTAAATACTTGCAAGTTAACTCATGGGAAACAATGAGGACAATGTCATGCTTGAGCGGCAGACAAATGTAAAATTATTAATAATATGCTAAAGAAACTAAGTTTGTGAAATTACACGTGAGAAATTCAATGATAGTACCGATACACCGTGTACACAGAACTTATAAAAAACCGCAATATTTCAAGTTCGAAATATAATTTATTTTTTATTTCTTGAACAAATGAAGAAAGATGATGATGTTACGTATCATATGATATATACCTGATCCTGGTGTGTTTCACTTGTTGATCGGTAATCGGGGTATAGGGTTTGTAAAGGGACTTTTTCATATGCTTTATTTACAAAACTGGATGATGGCTCTGCCTAAAACAAAATGCTCTGTTTAAATACTATCAACGTTAATATTTGCAAAAGTTATGTCACAGCTGATAAACGACATGACATAATATGTAAACTTTGTCATTGTATGTATTATATTTCAACAAATGCATACGCCGACATTGAAAATATGTCGTGCAGGAAAATAAGTAACAAATCTCGAACAAAAACATTAAATAAGCCGACGTATTATTCAACTATTTCAACGTTTTAAAGCATAAACTTCCATATCTATTTGAAAAATAAACATATTAATTCCCAACAATCATATAAAAATAATTGTTTCCTTTTTCAATTCAACCAATGATTTTTGCAACAGCTATATAGCTTCACACTTTAAAAAACACATAACAAGAGCTACCAAGCGCTATAATGTATTCGGTTGCTCATGGTTTAGACATTACTCAATTTGCTTGCTTTACACTTGTTAGTTAACAAACTATTAAGATGAAACAATGAGGATAACATCACACCAAACTCACCAAAATACCGCAATTATTTAAAGTAAAAATATTTTCCATTACTTAAATTAATTAAGATTGATGATGTATGTATCATAAACATGCAGTATAAGCCTGATTTATATTTACGTTAGACGTTGTGTATGACCTTTTGTTGATGAGACGTAAACCCATTTCACAAAAAAAACAGGCCATTGAGGTTTGTTGCTTCGATCCGAATTGAGGTGCAGAAAGCATTTCACTCATCCAAATAGGGAACTTTCTAGATTCATATTGTTTTACAACAGAATATTAATTGTATTCCTATGTCAACTAAGTGACCCAAAATTTGGTTGAGCAAATACAGGACATGACTTTTATAGTTTTATTCAGAGGACGACAAACAAAACTATTTAGGCCAAGTATCTTAGTTATGAATATTATTGTTGTTTATAAGAAGGCTAACTTCAGAAAGATTCCTAATCAAAACATTTATACGAGGGGTGATCCAGAAAGAACCGGACTGGGCTCATAACTTAGAAACAGACAAAGGCAGAATCCCGAAAAGATATCTGAAATTAATTTCAATGTTTAATGCATGACTCTTGAAAATATCAATGCATTATGGCAATAAATCACACTAATATACATACAAACACAATATGTGTGATGCGTGTGCGGGGACAATAATCCAATAAACGTTGATGACGTTGACGGTACCCAAAGTTTTATTGACAGTCACTTTTCTATGTAGTCACAGTTTACATCCACACACTTCTGATCTGGCACTGACTTTAGACATATTTAATTGTTCAGTGATCACTTGCTGTACAGTCCCGTAACTATATCCAGTAACATCGCAATCATCTCGTATGGTTACACGCCTGTCGCTGAGAATAATGTCTTTGATTGTTTCAACAAACATATAAAACCTTCTCTTGAATCATCTTCTAGAGATTGCCTGCTTTCACGGAATCGTCGATGCCATTCAATAACTTGTGTTTTTGATACTTTCTTTCCTGCAGATGACTGTTTTTTTCCATTTCATAAGTTTTTGAAGGTGAAAAACGATGTTCGCAACAAATCTTAATAATTTTGCGCTGTTCTGGATACAGATGTGACGCCATTGTCAAGACACAAGCAGAGATGGTGTCCGGTTTGTTGTTTGATAAATGAAAACGTTATGACATTGAAACTTTGATAAAAAGACGTCAATGACGTTATGTCAAACTGACGTTAATTGGCTTCAAAATGCAAAGTCCGAAAACTGTTCAAAATAAGCTATAAAATAGCAGTTTATGAATGAAAAAAGACTTCCCCCACTCTTGCGCTAATACGCATAAAACAACGGAAACCATCTAAAGAATAATATTTTTATTTTCGAACCGAATCAGTTTAATCTAAATTACGTTAAAGAATTAATATTTTAGAGAGTAAGTCCGGTTATTTCTGGATCACCCCTCGTACTTTATAACAAATAGTTTCTGAGAAGTATAATAGGAATCAGTCTACAAATTAAGATAAAACCTCCAAAGGCAGCTTTGACGCTGGGCTATTGTTTATATGTATTGACTTCTGAAATTAACATCAAGGTAATGCTACAGAGACAAAAAAGAACATTTATGTCAAGTTTGGGTATAAGAGAAACATATTATGTTTGAGAGGGAATGGACAAAGTACAAGAACGGTCATTAGAACGTTTCCCTATAAATTTAGTACGCTTGTTGCTTTTACACACAGCTGCTTTATTCTTAAATGAGAAATTACATACGTATTATTCTTTGAAATTAAATTCATATGCGGACAATGCAAACCAATATAAACGTGATACTTGTACATACAACATGAATATAGAACACACATATTACTTATTACTACATGACCAACAAAAACGAATTGTTTGCAGTGAGAGGTTTACTTAAACATGTTAAACGTATATAATCTAGATTGGGAATCATGTTGCTTGCTTCAAAAATATTTCTTGTAAATATCGCATAGAACGAGGCTCGCAAAAGACAGTCTAAGCAACTGATTTTTATGATTTAATATTATTTGTGAAGATAAACAAAGCACAAGCATGGTTTTGTAGGAAAGGAACATAAACTATATCTCAATTCAAATTAGAAACTCTATGTATAATTCCCCGGCAATGCCTTTCTTTCATATGTATACCAAACAATGTAAGTAGATTGAGGTTAATAATTATTTATTCATCTTTGAGGATGTTTTTATGTATTTTTCTTTTAATATTTTTAACAATGACGTTTAAATGTGTTGATAAGATGTGCAATTATTGATTGCTTGTAAGCGAATTTATTTGTAAGTGCAACTAAATTCTGCTTAAAATGTCAGTTAAATAGAATTAAATCTCTTTAATTTTATTTAGACTTTCCAAACAGCAGCGCCCCTTTGCAGTGCCCCGTTTAATGCCACGTGACATGTCCAAGGGGATTCTGGGAATTAACACGAATCTCTGGTCAGTTTTAAGCTTGCTTGTTAACGCTATACATATAATTAATATGCTGAACAATTTAAAAGAAGAAGAATGATTAATAAAAGTAGACTCATAATATCAATATGCCGGAAACCGATCCAGACAAAAATAGTGAAAATTTAGAGATGGATTCAATTTTGATGAATTGGCAAAAATCCTAGGACTTAAAATATAAGTGATTCAATGCCTCAGTAAGTAAGAATTTGTTTAAAGGCGACGAACTAGTTGAGATCGGGGACCTTTAGTCGATTGGACTGACCTTATGTTCCATAAAACTAATAATGGACCAAGTAAACAAATGGAATGCCTGCATAAGTGTCGTTACCACCTGAAAATGACGTTCTACATGATGCAGCAGCTAAGACTCTTGATAATTTGCTGCTTTCTAATAAAAAAGACACACAATTGAGAGACACACCTGTCACTTACATGGACCCAAGAGCGACCTTAACCTTAAAAGCAAGATTTAAAAAAGCTGTCAATATTACACATTACCTGACATAAAAATGTAAGAAAAGACGGCAAAATAGACGGAAGGAATTTATCCTAAAAACAGGCACAGTCGATGCTGAGATGCTGGTCTTGCGAACTGAGAAGGATCGCCAATATTTGGGTTTCTACATTGAAGAATGAGGAGCCGCTAATATGCGACTGCTCAACCATCTATTGTTGACAGTGGAATCGCAGCGCACCAATATTGAATTATTATCTAGCGTACACAACCATAATCTACGAATTCGTCGAAATATACGAATGAAATAGTGTGCTTAATTTTGACCACTCGTATAGAGAACTTCAGGCAGAACACCAATTCCAGAGGGGAACATTTTCACCCCACATGGAACTACAAATTCTCACTGAAGCGTGTCCAACAGAATCTGACATCAGGTACAACTTCCAATCAGCCACGTGAAGATTGTCGTATTTTCAAAGCGAAGGGATCCTGCCCGTTTGGTACAATTTGTCTATATCGACACAATAAATTACACAGCAAACAGACAACTTCCTCACAAAATGTGCAACAGGCAATACCTCCATCTTCCTCTATGTATACAAATACGTCACTCAATTATGACGCATTAGAGGGCAACCTTCAAAATATACGTGATCGTGAATTTCTCTTAACAAGAATTAAATAAGGCTTTCATATAGTCGACCCAGAAGCTATTAGAAAATATGGACAATTATGAATCTGCCACGTCGGGAAATATGCGCGCGCGATCTGAATCTCAGATCAAAAATGAACTAGCAAATAGACATTATAAAATTATGCATGACCAACCTTTCATTGTGTCTTCACTTGGAGCTTTTCCTAAAAAAAGATTCAAACAAAGTTAGGTTGATCCACGATTGCAGCCGCCCACCGGGTTCATCTTTAAATGACTTTACGTCTACTAATCACTTTCAATATCAATCAATACAGGATGCCGTGGACTTAGTGACACCTAATTGTTAATTTGCAAAAGTAGATTTAGCGACCGCGTACAGATCAGTGAAAATTCATCCATCTAATTACAAAGCAACAGTACTAAAATGGCAATTTCAAGGAGACGACCACTACACTTATAAGATAGATCAACGTCTGCCATTCGGTGCTTCTCCTAGCCCAGAAATATTTAATAAAATCACACAAGCCGTACGTGAAATCATGGTTCATAAAGGTTTTATAACTATTGTTTGCTATTTAGATGATTTTCTTATTATTGCAAAGACTTACGACGAGTGCATAACTGTCTTAAATACGCTATTACAGTTACTGCGTGAACTCGGATTTGCTATCAACTATAACAAAATCTATAGGCCTGTACAAAAAATACAGTTTTTAGGACTTAATCTGTGTTCCGTTTCTATGACAATCAGTGTACCAAATGAAAAATTACGTGAGATCAGGTATATTTTCGAAAACTTTATTACCCTGCGAAAAGTAACAAAGCGCCATATTTGGCAGGAAAATTAAACTGAAAAACACAGTGTATTTATGGAGGACGATATCACATGAAAAGACTTTTTGAACGTGCATCAACATTAAATCCGGCATGGCATAGAACGAA